CGACAACCCGAGCAGGTCCTGGAGAACCGGCGGGCGCTGCCTTTAGCTCCAGCCCCCAGGGGCAGGCCCTCCTGCGGAGGAGCCGAGGCGGGATGCTCCCGGGAAACGCGCCCGGCCCGGCCACGCACCTCAATGACGTTCACCTCAGCGCTGGTGAAGTCGATGTTGAGCAGTTTCGGGAGGGGAACGCCTCTTCCCAGGACGCCTGCGGGGCAGAACCGAGTCCCCGTGAGCACCCACCGGCACAAAGGCACCGGGACAGCTATTTAAACTCTCATCTGTGGTTTTGTCTCTTGAAACTCTTCTTCTTTTGTTCACATCCCTCCTTTCGATGCAAGCGAGGCTTTCTGGAGGGCTGCGTGTCGCGCAGCGGAGGAGGTGGTGAGTTGTCCCCTGCCAGCCGCCCGGCAAGCGGCGAGCAGCCCCCTCCCCGAGGGCCTTTGTCTCCCTACCTGTTTGTTCCCTTCCCGACAAATACCCTGTCGCCCGAAATGAGTCTCGCCATTGTTAGTGCAAATTAGTTCCACTGGCTCCTATTGTGCATAGCTGAGGTAAATTAAAAATACATACAGAGGTTGTGCGGCGTACGGTCTAGCATAAATGAATGCACGGCTGAGGAATCAAAGCCTCCTTACTGTTCATTGCAGGCAGGAAGGCGACATCGAAAATCTTGCCCACCAGCGTCTCCAGGAGCGAGATCTGCAGCAAGGAGAGGGTCAGCCCGGCGCGTTTGCCCCCGGCCCCGGCTTCCCGCCGCCCTCCGGTGCCGGGAGCCCAGCGCTGCTCCTCCGGCCCCGGCTGAACCAGCGCCTGGTGCTCCGGCTCCACCCTGGTCTAATGCAAATCCCCCAGGTCACAGAACATGGACCTTGCTTTAAACATTTAACGGTCAATTTATAGTCCAAAAATAACGGGCCTCCGCAGACCCGTTCCAGCGGGTGCTCCGAGCTGCCTGCAGTTAACCACCCCTGCAAACCGAACGCACCTCGTCTCCAGTTAACCTAGGAAAGGAGAACCATGAGATTGCGCCTGGATTTCGATTTTGTCCCCTACAAAACACCAGGATGTGCCTTCCCCCAGGTGCATCACTAGGAGATGTCACAGATATGAGCAGAATATTTTAAGCATACACCAAGGAGCCCAAAACTTCTCTTTTTTGATGAAGAATGACAAAACAGAAGAAAACCTCCACCAAGGAAGGAACCGCTATTCACAGAGGACATTCCCCACTGCTGCCTTAACTGGAGCGTGCTGGCTGAGGCCCAGGAGCTGCCTGGGAGCTGAAGTGGATGACGAAGTGCACAGCCTGCCCCATGCTGTGCTGCACCGCGCCGTGCCGGGCAGCCCCACAGAGCTCGGGTATCAAGACGGCCTCCGCTGCAGCCACGTGCAGCTCTGCCCAGGCTAACTCACTGTGCTTCTCAGCTGCCTCTGGTGCAATATAAATACATCCGCTCCTAAATACAGACAATTCCTGCTTTTTTCTCCTCTGGCCCTGTGTATCCTGATGTCAGCAATCGGGATTGTTCTCCTATTTCCCATAACTATTTTTCACACGCATGGATTTACGGGATTTTGCCTGAAAATTGCTGAAGGATCATCCATGGAAAAACATCCATCTCCAGAGGTAAAAGAAAGGTTCTACTAAAAATATGACACAGAAGTTACACTGCAGTTGGCCCTTATTTCTCCTGAACCAATATCTATCAGTGCTTTGCTTCCTGCAATAGATTTCACATATTGCTGAAGCTGGCCGTGTTCTTACATCAAAATCACCGATGGATGAAGACACCAAGGAGAGATCAGTCCTATGGAAGAAAAGAAGCAGAAGTGAGTAAAATTCAGGCAATTCTGTAGATGGTCTAATTCTACCAGTTTCCTCATCCACACCTAGCCAGGATCCTCCCTTGCCATCGGTCCCATCTCACCACCCCCAGGCTTGCATTAGAGCAGCCTTTCACTATCAAATGTGACTGGTGAAAACTTAGCACCAATTTAACACCTACTTCTCAAGGCTGACGCTGATCTTCAGTTTGTGGTCTTCAACAGAAAACTGGGCCAGCAAAGCAGCATCCTGCAGGCAGACAACAGAGATGTCAGGACACAAGCTGGCTCTGACAGCCCTCGCCCAAGTCATGGGCTTTTCCACCGCAGATGCACGCCCACATTTACAGGCCCCCCCTGCATCTGGGGAGAGGGGAAGGGGAAGATGGGCAGCAACCGTTTCACCAAGGGAGGAATTTTTGCATGGGTTGTTCCTTAATACACACAATATTCAGAAGGCAGAGAGACTTCTGGGTATCATTTGGATGGATCACCATCACTTCCGCTGTAGCCGTGAGCTGGATCACACCTTTGTTTTTCTTTAAGGTCACCACTGGTGCTTTAGGGACTGCAATTTTCAGCAACAATTCACGTGACTCAGGGTATGCCTTGAAAACCTGTCAACATCCACAGGGAGAGCGTTTGGTGGCAGGGGCACACATGCTGTTGACTCTTGAACAGGCAGAACCAGTAAGTAAATATGAATCAGAGAGCAAGTTGCCTGCTAGGATAATGTTCATTTGGAGTCAGTGCAGCTCTGCAGGGGCCAGGTTTACTCCCGTCCAACCAGGCTGTATCCCAGTTGATTTAAGTGATTTCAAGCCAGCTGTGAGTTCAACCACCATGGAAACCCAGAGCCCAGGTCAGGACGCCTTGTCCTGGGCAGAGGACCACAGACAGCCCCTCCATCTAGGTGTGCGTTAGTAGCTACGGGGCTCCTTTGTGGCACAGGAGAGATGTAAAAGGACAGGGTGATAAATCAGACTCTGGCCTGCTGCAGCTTTCAATTTTCAGCGTGATTCAGTGTTCTTTCAAGTCTGCAGGACTCTGAGATTTGAGTCTAAGATGATGTCTCTGAGCAGAAGAGATAGGGAGAGCTCCCCTGTCTCTGCCTACTTCTTCTCTTACCGGACTGTTTGCAGTGTAATGTGGCGACTGAATGCACTCACCGCAGGGATCAGGGCTCCAAGAGTCAATGTTGTTAGTGGTGGAAGCTCGGGAAACTGTTACAGACAAGAAGGAGACATTGCATTGGAGTGTGCGTGACAACTTTCAGCAGGTATCTCCTACTCTGCCGCAGCAATGCACCTGAGGCTTTTACCAGCTCGTTCTCGGACCCTCTATTTTTGCCCAAGATAGCAGAATTCCTGATAAATGGTAAATGCATGCTAAAGCATTGCAAAATAAGACCAGTTGGGTGACTACCTGACCACCCTTAATCTCTCTGAACCCCAAAGCCAGGCAGTGTTTCTCTGGCCCTGTCTCGAGGGGGTTTTACTCACCATCCCGCTGGAGATGTCCAAGTCCAAGACGCCTTGCTTCTGCAGGGCCGATATCACCGAGCTGAGGAAGTTCACAGACAGGCCCAGCTGGGAGGAGCTGGTGTCCGGCATCGGTGGCAGTGGAGGCATGGGGACCCTTGGCAGCATGGGGACAGCTTCTGGTCTTCCCAGAGGGTAGTCAACCAGGCCTCCCGCTACTCGCTCGACTACGGTCTGCAATTTCCGGGGAAGGACGTATACACCTTTCAAAATGCTGCAGAAGCCTGTGGTGATACTTGCCTTTATGGTTAACTTAAAAGTCCCTCTGATGTGAAATCACTGCACGTTCAACCAGCCCACATCAGGCTGCGTGACGTTTCCCCCTGCAGAGATTCACGCAGTGCAAACCCCGGCTGCGCTCTCCCGTGACCGCGGCGGTGCTGAGCCCAGAGCAGAGCGCGGGGACCGAGACTCGCTGCGAGCTTTGCACAGCAGCTCCTCAGAGCTTCCTGCTCCGAGAGCCGGGGCAGCTCAAGGAGCCATTCCCAAACCGCAGCGCTGCTGTGAAACATTGCCCTTTCATATGAATGCAAAAAAAACCCCCAGGACTTACATTCAAATCTACTTCAAGGAACTGGCCGGTTACCAGTGGGAGGCTCGATACGGTATACTGGATGCTTCCTAATAAACCCAGGGGCACCAGCGCTGCGTGGAGAGAAGGCGAATCAGAGGTTCCCCACCAGGTTAGGATATAACTCCCACCTCCTCATCTGCTCTTTTTCTTCTGGAAAAGCCCCCAGATTGCAGGGGGACTCGGAGCAGCAGCCAGCCCAGGGGATGGCTTCGCCCATGGCTTCGAGGGCGTGCTCTGCGCCCAGGGGTAACGCTGCAGGCTGAACCACCGCCCTGAAGAGCAGCGTTTGCCCAGCTGGAAAGGGAGGGGAGAACTCGCAGCCGCCCCCATCGCTGCCCACCTTCATGCACGCAGAGGCCTTCAGTGGGTAATTAAAGGCCGGGAAAAGGGGGATTTGGGCTCGGGGGGGGTGGGAGGAGGATGAGGACAGGCATCCCGCATGAGCTGGGGATCTGCCCCGCGGCTGCTGTCCGGGGATGCAGGGTCCCTGGGATGGAGCCGGCTGATCTGCTCTTGCCCTCCAGGGGTGCCCGGAGCTGAGGAGCGTTTCAGGCCTCACGCGGCTGGAGCCGAGGGCAGGGATGGGTGCAAGGGAGGAGGACGAGGCACGGCGAGGAGAGCAACTCACAGTTCACGAGCCCCAGCTGGTCGTTGACAAGGCCCAGGGCAACGTCGACTACTGGGCACAGCTGGAGGAGTTACAGGAAAAGGTGAATTTCCATTCGGAGCCAGACAAGGACATGCACTAGCAGCCCATTTGTGCCTCGTCTTCAATGGGAAATCAGAGCACCCAACCCGTGGGCTCAGACCCCCGTTTGCAATGCCACGACGCTGCTGGACTTGTATCAGGGTTTTTTCCGACTTACCAGATTAGGAAGTAGTCTGTTCAGGACGCTTGCCAATAAATTGTCCACAATTGGGAGCAGGCTGCGGAAAAATAAAGGAGCATCATGAAAAAAAAAACCTTGCTGCAAAGCAAATGAGTCTTGTTAAACAATTCCCTGTGAACCTCAGCCAGAGCAGACCTCCTGGAGCAACGCGCTTGCAGCAGCAAAGTGCATCATGTATGCTTGGATTTTGCATGAGATAAGTCTAATTTGCATCCCAAACTAGCCAGTGGGAAATGTATTGCTGCCTTTTATGAATTACTATATAGTCTCCTTAAATGAGGTGTGGGGGGGAAAACCTCAGCCCAAGCAGTTTCTGTGCTGTACAAGCCAAGCAGCTACATCTCAGAAGACACGGAGCAATGTCAGTTAAAGCAATCCAGGACTCTGCGCGTGCCGCAGAAACGCTCCTTCGCAGCCTCAGCGCGGCGGTAGGATCCCTGCTCGGCGGCGCGGCGACTCCGGGCGAGCGGCAGCGCCTTC